TGCAAATCCGAGCCAAGCTGGGGAATGTTTGGACTGTGTTTCGATATAGGCTACAACTGCTAACATTTCCCCAGCAATTCCAAGGCAATGGCAATTTATGCATTGCTCCACATGCAACTCGGACACCTGGAGCGAATTTGTTTGTTTGCCAATTGATGCCTGCAACAATTGTGCAATTATTTCTTTTGTTTTCATTCCACTCCATTCCCACTCCATTCGCAGTCAAAGAAACGCGGTTAAATGCTAATTAATAGGGGTGCCCGTTGCCAAAAGTTTTAACACTGACAAATGAGTCGAGCTCTGGGATTGGGACTGGAGCTGGCAATGGAATAGGGCTCTTCAAGGCGCAGCTGAAACTTCTTTAACGTGGCTTAAATATTAATAGCGCATTACGTATACGCCGCGTGCGACGCCTCCAGTTGAGGCAGCTCGACTGGCCGCTGGGAATTCAGTGCTCTTAAATTTAGATCAAATATATTGAATATGCTTTGGCTGCTCGGGTCCCGTTTCGACGCGCTGGTTTAATATTTATAGACAAAGTCCCAGCGGTCAACGGCTTTTGTGTCCATTTGTAAATTTTAAGCACGCAAAAGGTTCGCATATTAAATGTTAACTAACATTATCTTGGTGTCTCTGCAGCATTATAATTTATGGGGCGATCAGGCGAGCAGGGAGCAAGAGACTGCAAGGCCCGGGCGAATGACAAATCTAGTTAAAGTTTCGAGGACAAGCTAGATCCCAAACTCGGTGTACGATTCGTTTCATTAATCCGCCTCTTCACTAGTTTCTGTAGTTTATTGAATTCATAATTCTTTCCGACATTTCCTTTCACACGGCGCACAGCTTTTAATGCTCTTCTTTATGCTGAAATTGTCAAACACGATTCGTCAATTTTTTTATTGAGCTTTGCAGTGCTTATTGCAAATTAATTACATCCTCTTTCATTTTTTATGCACTCTCGAAAGAGCGCATCTCTATGCACTCCATCCTGATCCCAACGCGTGTGCCGCTTGCTCAATTGCAACCACAGCATTCATGGAGGGCGGGTGTTAGATGAGAGGAGGGGAGGGGAGGCGAGGCGGTCGTGTAAAGCTGACAGGTTTGCATATTTCATAGTAGCTACGCATAAGTGACACTTGTCAAAACACATTTTCCACACCTGCCCTTCTCCCTGCTCACCCCCTCTCTCACTCTATCTCTCTCGCTTTAGCCCTCAGAATAGCCTGAGGGGGCAAAAAAAAAGCATATTACAAGTGCGGCACTTCATGTGCGTCAAACAGAGAGCCATGCCTGTGTGTGCGGGTGTTAGACAGAGCTGCATAGGATGCGTCATGGGGTCGAACAGAAAAAGTCCTCGAGTCGAAAGCCCTTGAGTTGTTTTGCAACATTTGAACACGTCAAGTTTTTAAGGTCAGCATGTCGCTGGCAGCCAGACAGCCGCAGACTAGCGCCAGACCGCAATATAAGTTACAGTTGCCTTCACTTTTCTTGTTTTTTTTTTTTTCGGACGTTTTATATCGTTTACTTATGCACTGAGGCCAGTTCGATGACTCCACTCGAGGAGCTCATTTCAATTGGCCAACCACGGGCGAGCAGCTTAAAGCTGTTCAAACTTTCACTTCAAGTGCTTCATTTGCCAAAAGCAATTCATTACAATTGCGTTTTCGGCCAGTGGAAAAAGTTCGTTGCGCGGGCAGTTGCCGAGTGCCGAGTGCACTTCAATTGTTTTTTGCCTGCGGCTAATGGAAGAGAGTGGATGCGCAGCAGGTCTATAAAGAAGTGAATAAAGTATTCGTAAGAAGCTTGAATACCCTTACATTCAAATTAACGATATTGCTTCTGTTTCCATTCGTTCCTCCAAATTATTAGCTGTGCTTTAGCGTCATACTTTCGATAACTCGATAGAATCTATATCAAATAATGCACATTTTATATTCATTAATTTAATTTATTAAATAAAGTTATATTCAATATTCTAGTTATTTAGTTGCCCAAGATCGCCTCCTAATTCTTTGTCTCTGCTGCTTGAGAAAATGATTCAGTTTCAATCGTCGCGCTAAACTTTTAGCTGTGATTTAGCTTCACATTTCCGATAGCTCGCTCGGATCAATGTCAAAATGATTTCAATATATCCCAATTTTCTATTATTCATTTTAGCTATATTCAATTTTATATTTGGGAGTCATATCAGTCCACGCATCAATTCACTTGTTTTTCTCGATATAGGGAATTCTCTCGTTCACTTTCAAATTATCCCTCTTAACTTTTAGCTGTGCTTTGGCATTTTCGATAACACGATATTAAAATGCTTTCACTATTTGTTATAGGTTTATTTATTTAATTTTTTTTTTTTACTTTATATCTATTCAACTTTTCACTCGCTTAATAATACCCTAGATGATGTTTGGCTTTTAAATTTAAAGACTTTAAGCTCCAACTTTTAGTATTAATCGCATCATCACATTTTCGATAACATGCTGAATATTAACATGTTTTCAGTATTTACCATTTTTCTATATTATTTTAAGCATAACTATATCTCTTATATGTCTTTTAATTTTACTTTAATTAATTCATTTGCATGCGCACATAAATATTATAGCTTCGCTTGCCTGTACATGTCATATCGAAGCATGAATATTGAGTTTCCATTTATTCCACTTGGCTTTCGGATGTGCTTTAGCATCACATTTTCGATAACACGCAACGGCCTATATCAAATAGATTTAAATACTTCGCATATTCCTATACTATTCATAACTTTATTCAGCTTTATTTTAAGCTCTCCTATCTGGCATATTTTTATTTCCACCTTTCATCCCATACATCTTCTAGATACGCCTATTGTTTCGATACCCTAGATTTTTGTCGGGCTGCTCTTTGGCTCTTAAGTTATGGGCCATGTTTACTCCTTGGGCAGGAGCAGCTTTGTGCGTGTATTTTCTACTTCCTCCATCTCCCATTATTATTTTTTTATTTATGTGTGGGTGTGGGCGGGTGTGTGTTTGTGGCAAACACTTTTTCGTAAAATTTTCTTGAAAGAATGTTAGACAAACCGCTTTGTTGGCAACAATTTGGGTTAAAACTTAAGTATTTTGCTGCGAGCTGCCGCATTGCCCCGACGGCATCCGCCCCCAGTCTGGCTCTTAAATTCTTTGGCACTGCAGTGCTTTGGCTAAAACCATCTAACCAGCAAGTGGAAATAGTGCGGGGTGAAAAGCGAGTTAAAGCAAAGGGGCAAAAAAGCCAAAGCAAAAAGACAAAATAAAAAGCGAATGAAGAAAAGAATAACAACGAGAAAAGCAACAAAGTTTTCTTCTTTTTTTCTGTGAACGCTAAAGCTGCCTGTTTGCATTTAGTTGATGCTTTGTGCTTTCCCCTTTTTCCCATGTACTTTGCACAGCCAAAGGACACAAATTGTCCTTTGCTCCTAGGAGCTTGTAGCCCAGAAAATGAAAAGTATTTTAAAGAGCAAGCCAAGCCAGGCCTCTCGCTCCCGAAAAATAATTAACATCTATTAGAAAATGTGTGGCTTGGCAAGTTTTTCGTATGGCATCTGGAGCAACGTGTCTGCTAATTTAATTGAAAGTTTGATCAAGTTTAACTAAAACTTTGGATATGCCGCACTGCCGAGGCCACATCAAAGCGTGAAGAACCAACCAAAGTTGYTCCAATTATATACATTCAAAAGAACCCAGACCCAGACCCAGGCCTGAGCCCAAACCCTAACCCAAACCCAGGACCGAAAGGCACATAAGTGTGAGCCAGTCTCCTTAGCCATAAGTATATAAATATGTTTGTTCACTTCTGGGGGCAGCTTTATTGGTATCTGAGCAGAGCGTAACTTAACTAATTTTAAAGTTTCTGAAATGAGATCTGCGAGTGTGTGGGACTCGCTCGGTGCTCTGTCTCTGTCTGTGTCTGTGTCTGTCTGTGTCTGTGTCTGCGTAAAGTTTTCAGAGCAACTGATTTGGCACTGCCATCGCCTGAAATTAGTTGCAATTTTCGGCATCTGGGGAAAATCGTGCCATTTGGCTGCAGCAGCAATGGGAAAAGCAGGAAATTGTCTACAGCTGCTTGCGGTATGCAGTCATCATCATCACCATTATCATCATCATCATCATCTGAACCAAAGATGTCACTTTTGAAGTTTGAAGAGGGTTTTCGTAAAAGCCAACACATCCCATGAAAATATCTGGTTGATGCATTTGCATTTGCATTTTCCAAAATCAATTTCAGTTTCGATTTGTTTAGTTCTTCGAATTATTTCGTTTCATTCCATTGTTTCCGTGTGCCTATATTTGTAAGCTGCAGCCCGAGGAAATTGAATTATCGATATCATTGACTCGTCTCGTTTTATAAACATAGTTTCATTTGGAATTGGGTGGTCAAGCGGTAAAGAAGTTTTCTCTGTCAAGTCGTCACTTAAAGGAAAATGGAAGTTATTGATATTGAAGAACCTACTCCAGTCGTTAATACTGCCAACCCGGAATCCTCTGGCACTGCGATCCTGCTGAAAGTAAGGCGCCAGAAAGCTCGCATCGTCCTCAAAGGCAGCAAGGCCTGCATCTGCGTGCGCTGCGAACCCCAGCAGCAGCCGGACTTCATCGGAGTCAACGATGTGCTGTTCGAGGCGCTAGAAGTTGTGCAGCTGCTGATAATACTCTTCATATTCATTTTATTACTGAAAATAGCTGATGTGGAATATTAAATACATCTGATTGTCAACTTATGGGCATTTGTTTAATATGTGTACATAGGAAATGCTGAGGTGCTGTTGATTGGGAAAAGATTTCATGAATTTTGACAGTCGTAAAATCTGCATACGTACATACATACATATATAGAGGTGTGTCAAAATATGTACATTTTTCAGTCTACATGCACGTGGCTAACATGAATGTATATGTAAATTTAAATATACACATTTGTGTATGTACATATAACATCGATAACTATGACTTGTCGATAACATAAATTTGCATCCCTTCAAGCTCGCTGTTTGACGACCGCTCGACATAAATTTCGCCGACAATGCTTGATTTGTAAGGCAATAATTATATGCATTTATTTATCATCGCATATCAGGAGTATTTTCCATTTCAGCTGGATTCGGGTCTCAGTCTTGTTAAAGCGCTTGCTCAGGACGTGTTTATCTCACTTAATTCTCTGCTTGGAGTACGGCCTGTACAGGGTCTGGCTGCTGATCTACAACGAGCCCGATGACACGGATGTGGTGCTCTTTAATGAGCTGCCCCTAAGGCATCGTCAAATCTCTCGCCACATATCGCACAATTGTCCCAAGCCATTCTGCGAACTGTGCCGCGTGGAACGAATCGTTATGTATATGGAACGGGCGAAGGTCTCCATTGACATCGCAATGCTGACAATCTCGCACAGCTCGTTCTACAGCGCCATCGATGCCGCGCGGCTGAGGGGCATTCAGGTACGCCTGATCACCGACTCGCAGATGATCTTTGCGCAGGGCTCAGTGGTGAAGAAGTTGGTGGCTGCCGGGCTTCCGGCGCGCCGTTCTCCGCCGGACGTGATACTGCATAACAAGTTCTGCATCATCGATGGGGAGCAGCGCGTGTTCGAGCTGGACCAGCAGCAGCGGCGCTGGCACCACCGGCTSTGGTACCGCAGGGGCTACGTSCTGAATGGTTCGCTCAACTGGACCAAACTGGGCACTGTCAACAACTTCGAGAATGTGGTCATCACCTCCAATCGGGTTATCATCGCACTCTACGAGAACTTGTTCAATGATATGTGGAAGCATTTTCCAGTTCTCGACTTGGAAGCCTTCGACTCGATACCAACGACACCGTTCGATTTTGAACATAATGAATGGCCTTGCAAGCAATTTGATAGAAGTCTGAACTAAAGTCACGTCTGCAACTGCAAGTCTTGTGTTTTTATTATCTTGTTATTTGAATGCATTCTTGGGGGCGTCGTGTTGTTATTTCTCCTCATCCTCCTCTTCTTTTTTTTACCATTCCTCTCAGCTGCAGCAAAAAGTTTTCTTCGCAAGTTTCGTTGCTGCCTCGTCTTCTGGCTACACATCATGCGGGAATTGCAGCAGTTAACCAAGTTAACAAATCCACCTTCTTTCCTTTTTTCGCATTGTTTCAGAGTCTTGATTACGCTTTGGTTGCTCATAAATTTGTATTCCAGCGTAAGCAAAAAAAGAAAAAAAAATAAAAACAGCCAAGTTGCTTACTTTCTCGCAATGGCCAATATAAAGGGCAAAAACTTTTTTATTTCACCTGGGTGGTTCGGAGTGAAACTAGAGCGCTGCAATGTGCAAAGGTATTGCCAAATAAACTCATCCCTGGCTTCCCTTCGCGCTGTCCCCTCCTTTGTCCTGCTATCAATTGCGCTTTATCAAATTTAAATGTTGCTCAATATAAACTTTTCTTTCAAGTTTAGCGAATATTTTCTTATAATGAAAACCTGAGGACAAGCAAGAGGAAATTTATTGGTGATGCAGTCTCATCTACTAATCAGGGACGGTGCAAAAAGCTACCTTTAAGCTACCTCGAATAAAATATTTTCAAACTTTACATATACAACGGTACATATATCCATACATATGTATGTATGTATGTCGAATCATTAAAGTAGTGTTGGATTATTGCTCAAATTGGCAGTCCACTAGAGTGAGACAAATATAGCCGCCTGAGCCTGGTCCCTGCTTAGTGTTGAGAGCGAATGAGATGGCATGAAGTCTCTCGTCAAAAAGCAGCGTGTTGCTTTAGAGCAAAATAGAAGAAGCAGCTAAGAATTGTAAGTCGATATAAAAGTTAAGCAATTGTACAANGTTCAATGATATGTGGAAGCATTTTCCAGTTCTCGACTTGGAAGCCTTCGACTCGATACCAACGACACCGTTCGATTTTGAACATAATGAATGGCCTTGCAAGCAATTTGATAGAAGTCTGAACTAAAGTCACGTCTGCAACTGCAAGTCTTGTGTTTTTATTATCTTGTTATTTGAATGCATTCTTGGGGGCGTCGTGTTGTTATTTCTCCTCATCCTCCTCTTCTTTTTTTTACCATTCCTCTCAGCTGCAGCAAAAAGTTTTCTTCGCAAGTTTCGTTGCTGCCTCGTCTTCTGGCTACACATCATGCGGGAATTGCAGCAGTTAACCAAGTTAACAAATCCACCTTCTTTCCTTTTTTCGCATTGTTTCAGAGTCTTGATTACGCTTTGGTTGCTCATAAATTTGTATTCCAGCGTAAGCAAAAAAAGAAAAAAAAATAAAAACAGCCAAGTTGCTTACTTTCTCGCAATGGCCAATATAAAGGGCAAAAACTTTTTTATTTCACCTGGGTGGTTCGGAGTGAAACTAGAGCGCTGCAATGTGCAAAGGTATTGCCAAATAAACTCATCCCTGGCTTCCCTTCGCGCTGTCCCCTCCTTTGTCCTGCTATCAATTGCGCTTTATCAAATTTAAATGTTGCTCAATATAAACTTTTCTTTCAAGTTTAGCGAATATTTTCTTATAATGAAAACCTGAGGACAAGCAAGAGGAAATTTATTGGTGATGCAGTCTCATCTACTAATCAGGGACGGTGCAAAAAGCTACCTTTAAGCTACCTCGAATAAAATATTTTCAAACTTTACATATACAACGGTACATATATCCATACATATGTATGTATGTATGTCGAATCATTAAAGTAGTGTTGGATTATTGCTCAAATTGGCAGTCCACTAGAGTGAGACAAATATAGCCGCCTGAGCCTGGTCCCTGCTTAGTGTTGAGAGCGAATGAGATGGCATGAAGTCTCTCGTCAAAAAGCAGCGTGTTGCTTTAGAGCAAAATAGAAGAAGCAGCTAAGAATTGTAAGTCGATATAAAAGTTAAGCAATTGTACAAGTACAGCAGCATGGGGAACTCAGAATAGAGCGGTGTTATACAGATATGTACATACATATATGTATGAATATGCAGAATAAACACCGTAAGTTCTGAAACAAATATGTTTGTAAGTATGTACTACATATGTATGTATACATCCATCAGAATCTAAAAGTTGACTCGCAATAATAGAAAACGGTAAGTTATTATTACTTTTTTTTTAATAGCCATGGCTTTAGCTTTATTATATTTGAACAGGAAAACTCAAGATTCATCCATACATTCATCCATTTCCATGTTTTCAACATCGGACAAGTTATATTTGCCATCGTCGAAATGCTGGATAGGGAGCTGAGTGCGCTCCAGTAGATGCGGATTGAGAGCCACGATTGAGCTCCAGGGAATTTCCTTGCCCATCAGCTTCGAGTCCTCGGTCCATGCGACGGTTATGGACTGAATGTCGAACTGCTTGGAATCAACGATTGCAGCATGGACGCGCCCATCGGTACGCCCAATATTGATTTTCTCACCGATCATAAGAAATTCCATGGTTCTATATTCACAGACTCACAGATTCACAGAACTTAATATTTATTTTATTTTTTCCGAGTATTTATTGTGTTCGTGCCGACGTGTGTTTATTTATGACTGAGTTGTGAGAGTTGAGCTAGTGTAACGAACGCCATGAGTACTTGATACGATTGAAAGTATTTTGAGCTTGTTACTGAAGCCAACTTCACTTGAACTAGCCACTCAGTAGGCGGCTAGTCAGTCCGTCAGTCAGGCAGTCAGTTTGACGCATTGTTCAACTGGACGAGCATTAATCAAAAAGCGCAGCCGGTGACAAATTCCGAAGACAGGTGCACCAAGTGGCCGTCGTTTCCAATTTGCCCACACCTGACTTGCAGACACAACAAAATACGAGCACATCTGGAGGGCTTAGATGCAGCTTCCGACTGACCTACGCATATGTCCCCCATCCCCCCTCTAACTCTGCTGGCCAGACAAATTTTATGGCCAACATTTTTGGAAGAGTCGCTTGGACGCGCTCGTAAATTCGCAAGGTGAACTGTGTGTGTGTGTGTGTGTGGCTGTGAGTGGGCGTGGGCGTGGCACTTGCTTTTGATATATGGCCATCGCTGCGTTCCGGGTTAGTACTTCTCAAATTAGATTTAGGAACGGTCGCAGGCCGTGAAAGCGCTCTAGCGCTCCAGCGCCCCAGCTCTTTCGCTTTCATCTCGCCTGGCCCGGGGTCCAGCTGCCATAAAATGTGAGGTGAACCCAAAATGTTGCAATATTTACACAGCACAATTTAAAGTACACCCAACATTGTAACTTACGTGCCGGGGGGATATACACACAAACACACATGTACAGATATATATGTATATGTATGTGAGTATATTGAAGCAATAATTTGCTGACGCAAAGCGATCTGCCTTCTGTCTAGACCTGATGCAGCAGCTGCGAATTGAATTGCAGCTCAATTTAATTAAAACTAAAATCAAGCGATTAAGTAAAGTTCACGCATCGGGGAACTAAACAAACATCTGTGTGTCTGTGTGTGTCTCAGCTCACAAGCCAATGGCCCACACACACACGCCACACATCTACCTGTGTGTGTGTGCTGTGCTGCAGCCAGTCAGGTGTAAAAACTAATTTACAGAAATTCTATAAGGGCACAATGGTCACGTTAAACCAGGCAGGCAAGACCGCAAACACTTCGGGCCCAAGGACTCAAGACCATTTGCGTACATGGCCATTAATGCAGAATGTTTTCTCTATGCCCGAAAAGTTTTCTATGGCTCTATATAGTCGTCATGCTGGACTGGGTGAATAACCTTTGGCCACGCCTCCTGCTCTGCTGTGTAAATTTTGTGCCACGTCGCGGCTGAGAGGCTAAATGGAAAATTGGTTGAACAACATTTGATTTATGTACATAGCTGGTATATGCATACATATGAGTGTGTTTGTGTGTATTTGATATGAGAGCACACATCCTTTCCAGCGTTGCATAAATGTTGATTCTTTTAGGCGAATCCCCATTAAAGTCTCTCGCTCGTGTTTAAGGTATTTGCAATTTCAGTTAGTGGGTCACCATGCTGACAATGGGATTGGCCGTCGACCNCTATATTCACAGACTCACAGATTCACAGAACTTAATATTTATTTTATTTTTTCCGAGTATTTATTGTGTTCGTGCCGACGTGTGTTTATTTATGACTGAGTTGTGAGAGTTGAGCTAGTGTAACGAACGCCATGAGTACTTGATACGATTGAAAGTATTTTGAGCTTGTTACTGAAGCCAACTTCACTTGAACTAGCCACTCAGTAGGCGGCTAGTCAGTCCGTCAGTCAGGCAGTCAGTTTGACGCATTGTTCAACTGGACGAGCATTAATCAAAAAGCGCAGCCGGTGACAAATTCCGAAGACAGGTGCACCAAGTGGCCGTCGTTTCCAATTTGCCCACACCTGACTTGCAGACACAACAAAATACGAGCACATCTGGAGGGCTTAGATGCAGCTTCCGACTGACCTACGCATATGTCCCCCATCCCCCCTCTAACTCTGCTGGCCAGACAAATTTTATGGCCAACATTTTTGGAAGAGTCGCTTGGACGCGCTCGTAAATTCGCAAGGTGAACTGTGTGTGTGTGTGTGTGTGGCTGTGAGTGGGCGTGGGCGTGGCACTTGCTTTTGATATATGGCCATCGCTGCGTTCCGGGTTAGTACTTCTCAAATTAGATTTAGGAACGGTCGCAGGCCGTGAAAGCGCTCTAGCGCTCCAGCGCCCCAGCTCTTTCGCTTTCATCTCGCCTGGCCCGGGGTCCAGCTGCCATAAAATGTGAGGTGAACCCAAAATGTTGCAATATTTACACAGCACAATTTAAAGTACACCCAACATTGTAACTTACGTGCCGGGGGGATATACACACAAACACACATGTACAGATATATATGTATATGTATGTGAGTATATTGAAGCAATAATTTGCTGACGCAAAGCGATCTGCCTTCTGTCTAGACCTGATGCAGCAGCTGCGAATTGAATTGCAGCTCAATTTAATTAAAACTAAAATCAAGCGATTAAGTAAAGTTCACGCATCGGGGAACTAAACAAACATCTGTGTGTCTGTGTGTGTCTCAGCTCACAAGCCAATGGCCCACACACACACGCCACACATCTACCTGTGTGTGTGTGCTGTGCTGCAGCCAGTCAGGTGTAAAAACTAATTTACAGAAATTCTATAAGGGCACAATGGTCACGTTAAACCAGGCAGGCAAGACCGCAAACACTTCGGGCCCAAGGACTCAAGACCATTTGCGTACATGGCCATTAATGCAGAATGTTTTCTCTATGCCCGAAAAGTTTTCTATGGCTCTATATAGTCGTCATGCTGGACTGGGTGAATAACCTTTGGCCACGCCTCCTGCTCTGCTGTGTAAATTTTGTGCCACGTCGCGGCTGAGAGGCTAAATGGAAAATTGGTTGAACAACATTTGATTTATGTACATAGCTGGTATATGCATACATATGAGTGTGTTTGTGTGTATTTGATATGAGAGCACACATCCTTTCCAGCGTTGCATAAATGTTGATTCTTTTAGGCGAATCCCCATTAAAGTCTCTCGCTCGTGTTTAAGGTATTTGCAATTTCAGTTAGTGGGTCACCATGCTGACAATGGGATTGGCCGTCGACCGCAAAATCAACAGCAGCAGCAGAAGCCACATAATCATCATCATCATTGTCATCATCGCCATCGCCAATATCACTGGAGCACATAAATCTCATGGCTACAGCAATCAGAAGCGGAATCAGGAGCAGTATCTGTAACAGAAACCAGTGCCAACTTGTCAGGCTGTCGCGGGAGGGGGCGATGGCAATAGAGGGGATAGTGGGGATAGTGGGGATAGTGGGGATAGTGGAAATGGCGACTGGCATCAAGGGCGCCATAAATGAGAATTTCCGACTCATTTCCGTTGTTTGTGTGTGGTTCATTTGTGGAACATAATGAGGCGCTGTGGAAGCACAACAACAACAACAACAACAACAACTAAATGCATAGCCAACGCGAAACGGCCCAGAGTAGGCAATGCCACATATTGATTTTCATTTAAAGCGCCTGTCACCCAATGCCCTTTGGCCTGGCCAAATTTATGGCTGCATTTATGGTGCACCTCCAGCCGGGGGCAAGGCCCCGAGGCAACTTGACCTTTCGCCTAGCTCTACACTGCGTGGCCAACTGCAACTGCAACTGCAACTGCAACTGCAACTGGAATGCCAACTGCCATTTGTCAGCATTAGCACAATTAGAGCCCGCCCGCAGCCGCATCCGTGTCAAGGGCATCATAAATGGGCAAATCCCGGCTCCGCGAGGTGGCCAGGTACTAGCTCCAGMRCCAACACCGGCTGCCCGCAGAAGTACAATTCAATTAAACGCAGCTCGCTGCTGCCAAAGAACAGTTTGTTATCTCATATGCCCGCAGGCGTGGCGCATGTTAAGATATATGCGCTCGTAAATTTTGCATTAGCTTCGAGATGGCGAAGGCTAATACAACAGGCAGCCGAATAACGTACGGCCCTGTCCCTGTGAGATTGCACCGTTATCCTGCATGGAAATATATTGACAGCCCCACTGATTATCCGGGTAAGGCACACTGAGCAAGACGTTCGATTTATGGGCAGAGCAAAAGTTGTACACACACACTCAGACACAGACATAGCCCCAGACAACATACACAAACAAACAAAAAAACAAAAAATTTAATTTCTATAAAAAAATAATAACACACACATATACCCGAGAATACATATATACACTGTATAAGATTGGTATATAGTAAGAGAAGACGGAGACTATGTTCCAGGACGGGCCGAAAAACTCGAACTTGCGCCTCACCCATCAATGGGAGTAAGTTCATTGACCCCCACTGCCTCGGAGCTAAAGTCTCAATTCCTCCTCCTCCATCTCCTCCTTCCCCCGAAGTGTCACCCCCGACGACAGTTGCTCGGAGAGGAGCACCAACGAGTTCACGAGGGCTGTGCTCGCGCGGTGAGTAGAAATGACATCGGCGAGCTGTCGCCAATCTATAGTCGAGCTATATATGCTTTATGGGAACTGTCAATCCAGTTGTGTTTGCCAATAAATTGAAAAAGTTGATTTTTATATTTTTATAGAAAATGGAAAAGTATCTTCATAAAAGATGGTATACCTGCATTTATCGATGCCAGATTATCAGACTGCAATTTTGTTTAAATTTCTGTAAATCCATTAACTTCTCTCCCCCAGCACCCCCCTGCTTTTGGTAGACTATGTGCAGTTTCTGGCCGCTCGCAAGATACAGAAGCATTGGCGCGGCTATTATGCGCGGAGCTTACTGTACAAGCGGTGGCTGGCAGCGGTCACCATACAGCGGTGGTGGCGCGGCTACTGGGTGCGCAAGAGCCACTTCGGATTCGTGGAGAATAAGCTCCAGACTATGCTCATCGACCACTACGATCGGGCGGCGACGAAGATTCAGGCGCTCTACCGCGGCTGGAGAATACGCCAGACGGTGCACGACTCGAAGGGGCTGAGCCGGCTGCAGAACTGCGCCGCCGAGGATCTGCTGAACTGTGTGGCCTCCAAGCTGCACTACATGCTGCGCACCTACCAAATACCGGGCGTCTACTCGCTGCGCAATTCACAGTAAGTCGGAGCAGGAGCTGTGAGCATTTCTGCAAGTGAGTCTGACCCGCCTGATCCTACAGCTGTTTGTCGCGCGTGGAGAAGCTGCTGGCCAGCACCCAGTATCGGTTCCACAATGCACGTGTGCACAGTGACATGGCGTACCGCATGAACGTGATGGACAAGCACCGCAAGGAGTACAAGCAGAGCAAGTACTACACGAATGTGCCGTTCAAGGGGCCCGACTACAACCTCGCCTGCAAGCCGCACTGCAGAGAGGCCTTGCACAGGACCAAGGACATCGACGGCAGGATGTTCAAGATCATAAACGACTACGAGAAGGCGCAGATGGAGGCCAAAGCCAAAATGGCAAAGTACAACCTGGCCGAGAGTGAGTTCCCATTGCATCCCCTCTCTCCTTGCAGCACTCGCTAATCATCTCGACCCCCAGGGAAGCGGCGCCAGCACATCAATATGGTCCTCCAGCGATGTCAGCGCGAGAAGCGCAACTTCTGTGCCGATGTGATTGCCAGCATGCGACGCTGGAGCATCTGGAATGGAACGAACTTTGCCATTGACAAGGACATCTTTCGCAACACCGAGAAGCTCGAGCACTTCCTGGACGAGGCGTTCGAGATAATGGACAACCTCGTCAATTGCCACTGCAAAATGCCCGTGCACGACATAGTCATTTGTCACTGATTCTTGTAAAATTCCGAATGCTACAAATAAACTGCAATATCGAATTCAACTATCTGTTTATTATGATAAATTTATACAATTGATCGGTCCAAAAGTCTCTATTCACTTGACGCTTCCTCCACTGAAGCCGTTTACACTCATTCAAATATGGCTCTAAAGCAATCAACTGAAATGGAATTTCACAGATAAGTTAAGAGCTCGTTAAGTGTATTTTCGTATCTCGTATTTGCCTACCAAATATGTTGCCAAAGAAGCGCAGTAGAACAGTCACAAAAGCAGGTTTATTTGGATCCTCCCATCTCTCAGTCATGCTATCTGTGAGCATTACAAAGATATATTATATACATATATGCTTATGCTTATCGAATATATTTACTCTCTCACCTAGATTTTCACAGTTCAAGCGCTCCGTGCCCAAATCCAAAGGAGTAGAGCTCAAGGGTGGCTTCTCGGTTGTGAAACTAGTTGGATCCATTGCAGCGCGCTTAGAACAAAAATTTTACGCAAAAACAAAAATTTATGAAACACGACTGAACTACTTTACTTTAACTTCACTTATTGCCAATGGGCGAATAACTGCCATTTCCCACATTCCCCAGATTATAACTGTGAGGACTCGAGCAGCGACTACTACGTTCTGTGCGATGAATTCTAATTTGGCTATGTATGAATATATACAATATATACAAATATATTTATATACATTGCGTGTATAAATGTTGCATGAATTAACAGCAGTCAGTTTGTTCCGAAAATGCTTTAATTAGGCATCAAAACTTGACATTCATGTTGTGGGCGATCCGGGCGACGACATCAAAAGGCGCACAGCTGGAGAGGGAACTAATTGTAATATGCCGTCTGAGCCAACATCATCAGCATCATCATCGTCGTCGTCATTAGCATCATTATCATTTCTCTTAGTCTCAGCAGAATGCTCAAATATGCAATTACTGAGTGACGAAAAATGTGTCTTGGTCAGTGTCGTCAGGGCAAGATATATTTACATGCGCTTAAATATATATCAGAGCGCATTTATATCTCTGTTTATCCGGGGTCTGACTTCTTGTGGCGTCCAATCAAACACAATCCCACAATATCGTGATGAGGCCTTGGTGTAATTTTCAGGAGCATTTCATTAGCTCAAACCTCAAATCGTGTTCATCCTCTTTATCATTAGGTTAATTGCCTATGCACACACACACAAACACACACACACACATACAGGCATGTTGATTGGGGACTGGCCTTCAAAGCCCTTTGGCCACTAAGCCTCATCCTTGCGGTCCGAGCGCCACCTCAGCGCGCATTGTAAGTTTTTTGGCAATTAATTTGTAACAAGATTTCATTTCGTGTCTCAGACATGTTTCGGGCCCACACTTAATTATGAGTGCCAAAATGAAATGTCACCAGCAGAACTTGGCAATCAGCTAAGAGCTTCAAGCCCCAAAGAGCTGCCTGTTTCGTTCCTTGCCCTCAATTCATATTTGTTGGCTTGTTCGCTTGAAGGCCAGGTGCAAATCATGGCCAAATTTAGAATTTATCACCGTGTAGCCAATAAGTTACAAAGTTTCGCTTGCGCGCAGCCTAATGCTCATGCGGCTCAAATCATGTTGGCTCCACTTGTGCTGGGCCAACGCTAATTAATTGAAAAGTTTCAAATTCACAAGTGCCGAGACCAATGCAATTACACTGACCGTGAACAAGCAGCAGCCGACATACCTATACTGCCCACCATTTGCTCGCACGCACTCACACACACGCACACACACACGCATACACCGGAAGCCATTAGCACAACAAACGTAGCCCAACATCAAGTCGCCCCGCCGCCCCCTCGTTATCATTAAGTTAATTATATGTTTGCGGGTGCCAAGAGGTAATTACAACTCGGATTTCAAGCATTTCACATGTCGATGATGATGGTGATGATGATGGTGATGATGATGATGATGTCCACGCTTGACTCTGGGCCAAGCTATAAATAATTTGAATACAAACAGCCCCAGTCCCAACTGGCTCTGCCTGATGTGGCTATGCTCAGCTATTTCTAATATCCCCTCCCATTGGCCAACGCAAATGGTCCATGTGAACCCTTTCGTCTTGCGGCACATTCATATGGTGGACATGGGCTCTTGAAAACTATGCAGAGATGTCCTTTGGCAAAAAGCAATTTGTGACGCGGCCGACAGGCGCACAAACTTTACTCTTAACACATTTCATTAAAAAGCGTGAACAATCCATTAAAAAACTGACCAAATGAGTTTCGATGCAACTTTTCAACTCATCTCTGTGGCGTTGCGCAATTTGGGGCTCCTCCTGTTCCCTTCTCCCTTTTCCCATTTGCATTTGCATTTAATTTCCCTTTGCCTTTGCCCTTGCCTTTGCTCCTGCTTTTGTTTTTGTTTTGGGTAAATTGTTTGCAAATCTGCTTGAGATGTGCTGCCCGAGGCTTGTGCAGCTCATTCCGCAGAGTTTTACTCACAGATTATTTTAGTTTCAGCTGGCCACGGCAAATGTGATGCGAGCTGATTCGTGCTGGCAAAAAGTTTTTAATAAGCTTAATTCAACAGCCAAATGTATTCGCCCTGCTGCGAGGCGCATGTAAAGCAGAAGCCGGACTCAAATGCAGCCTTAATTTGCGGTTGGCTTCCACCTTTCGGAGGCAACCTTTTGACATTCGAATCGGAATTGGATTTATGGCTCAGCCATGTCGATTAGTTGGCCATAAATCTTGCCATTTGCCTGTGGTCAGCATCTTCGACTGGACCACATCTGCTCCCGCAGTGTGTTCGCGTCTCGCTTGAGCAATCTGTGATCGGGTCGCATTATGTTTTCATGACCGCATTTGTTGTGCTTTGTTAACCCACAAGTATCTCTGGCTGACATCGGGTCTTGGCGCGCGTGCGGCTTCTCTGCTTTTGGCATTTTATTTTCGCATTATTGTGCCATTAACAGCTTAACTCATTTTAAATGGAAAGTCCGCTGAGCGAGATATAAATATGAGAATGTTGCCTTAGCTGTTGCCTTTGCTTTTGCTTTTGCTTTTGCTTTTGCCATTTAATTCGCAAACTTTTCTGCGCTGGCTGAACTTTAACCTGCCGCAGGTGTTAAAAATGATTTGCAAAATGCAAAAGTTTCACGTTATAAATTCTTGTCCAGCTAGCGAGCCGGCGAGTCGGCCAAACACACGGCCAAAGAAGTTGAAATTGCTCAAGTTTATTGTTGTGAAATATGCGAAAAGTTGAATAAATTTGCGAATCGCAATACAAATAAATTCCCATATACTACTCGCATTGTCGCCCATTGTCGCAGCGCAGCTCCTATAAATTGCGATATAAAGCAACTGCAAATGGAGCCGAGTGAAAAGTTGACAAATGGCCAGTCTCGGCACACCAACTCAGATATATATCCATATACATATATCCACATATACATTATATACAAGGGACCTTAAATTAAATGCCATGCCTGGTAAAAAAATATCTAAAAATAATAAGATAAAGGCTTCGCTTTGATATCAAGACACTTGATAAAAATAGCTGCCGGAAAATGTGCTAAGAATGAAGCCAATGCCGAGCTGAGCTCGAGAAAATGCGCTCGACTAATTTCAGCAACAGCGCTTGAGCTGAAAATATTGTGGGCGTTATGGGCGCCCCAAGGGAGGTATTATTAAAGCGAATATACTGCTTCATTTGCAAGCATAAATTCGGTATTTCATAAATTGAATGTTTGGCCAGCTAAAGGCTATAAAAACCCGACCATAACAAAGACGTGACACTAGAAAACAACGAAAAGAAATATCTTTATGGGAAAATATGCACTTTGTATACCCTGGACATTTTTAAATGCAAAGGGTATAATAGTTATGCTCAAATTAATGTAAGGCAGCAGGAAGCGTGTTAAAGAAAATAAATTATATATGTATATTAATATGTATTTAAGATGACGAGCTGCATAGATCTACCTATATCCATCTGCTCGTTCTTCTGTTTGTCTGTTTTAAATATACATACATATTCTTGTATATCTTCATTGCTTTCCCTATTATCGAATAACAAGATAAGGAAAATAATAATTAGATTTTGCATTGTAAGGAGAACTAGAATATTACAAAACGTATAAATATTTATTTATTTATAGCGTATACAAAATACGAACTTCTTAGAATTTGAAATATTCTGATACTATACGAAATTCCAATCCTTATTATTAACTTAAGTAAACATTATATTAAAAATAATAATTTAATTGTATTGTCTTTCTTTCTTTTTTAGCCTTATTTATGGTGTACCGAATACAGTTCTATAAGTTTAGATTTAGGATGCTTTGACACTCTCTTCGCAAAGTAAAAGTAAATAATCCTATTTAAAATACGAGAGACTCTCCCATTTTATTTTCTTTTCAAATTATTTTAGACTTGAATTTAAAATGTGCACCCAAAGAAATCATTCAACATTAAAATATCCGTATTCAACCCCATAGTAGAAACGTAGAATGATTGGTATATCGCTTCCATGCTCTGGTTAGGGTATCTCCCAGTCGAGAGGTCCCGACTAAAACACCTTTACTCTTTGGACTATTTGCCTGTGCAGTGCCATTGCACCGCAGGTGCTTTGTCATAAATCTTATCTCTGGCCATGCGAATGTGTGAACGCCCCCGCAGCCGTCAGATAAATTTAGTGCAAAAATATTTAAAAGTTTATTTGTTGTGTGCTCTGGCCCAAAAGCAGCCAAAAACAATGAAGGACTCGCATGAAAAACTGCACAAAAAACGACTGCAAAATGAAAGAGAAATGAAAATAGAAAATAGAAGTGAATACGGCCAAACTATATGCATGTGTGTGGGCCAATGATTGAGCGTGTGTGTGTGCGGCATGAAATGGCAGTGCGAACGGCACAGCCACCTGAGCGTCACAAAAAATACAACACGAAAGCAGACGAGAGACAGACATGGAGAGAGAGAGGAGAGAAGGGAGAGAGCAAGACAAAGGACTGAGGCAGATAGCAAATGCAAACCTCTGAAATGGCGCTAACAATTTAACAACTCACTTCAAGTGTGCTTGGCTAATACACACACATGCACCTCTATACAAACACACACACACACACACACACACACACCCACACACGTACGACAACTGAAGCCAATGCAGAGCGAGTGGGATGCTTTTATTTCTGGGAACATTTATGTATTTATCATAAGCTTCAGCTATGAGCTCAACAACTCGAACTATTTTAAGCCACAGCTCTTAAATTCCAATTGAGTTCTTGAATGAAAAGTCAAAAGCAATCTCTTTAGAATCTCTGGATCCCACAATTTGTTTGCAACTTTTTGCCACGCCAAGTTAATTGAGCGGATCGCGCGACTTTGACAGCATTCGCTTGACATTGTGCTTTGAATGCAATGCAATTTCTGGTTTAGTCTTTTTTTTCGCCCTATTCTGGCTTATGTATGTATTTGTGTGCGTTCCTTTCGAGCACGCAAAAAAAGGAAAGAGGAAGAGCCAAATGTGGTAAGGTCGTGCAGCAAAAAAACATATGCAAGGCACGTTTCAGAATTATGTGCCGCGACCAGGACATG